TTTCATATATAATTTTAAAAGAAAAAATTCTATAATTGTCAAGTCTTGAAAAACTGACTTTTTTTAACAGCCAATTTATGATATTGTAACGTCAGCTGGGTGAGGAATTTAAAAAAAACATTTTTAAGAAAAGTCATGCTGAGAAAAACAGATTTTACGTCAGAATAAATGCATTTTACTTTTAAAATTTGTGATTTTGAGAACAAAGTATGATTTTTAAAAGAAAAATAATTTTCTAAGAAAAGTCAAAATATTTGGACAGAATCAGCATTTTGAACCTTTTGTGACTTTCCACAATGTCATCATGTTCCTTAAAATATAACTTTGGTTTCGAAATCTGTATTTGGCCATAATACTACATAGTGTGTTCTGTAAACACAAGCAGACCTTAAAAAATAGAATTAGACATTTAATCACAGCACAGTGATTTTATTTTAACACAGCAGGTTTTCCCCTCTGGAAACAACATTAATATATGATATTTAGATTTACAGTTGATATAAACTAGAGGAAATAGATCCTTGGATAGAGAATATGGATAGAGAATGTCAAAGGTTTTTTATGATCTGATAATTACTGTGTGACGTTGGGAGAAACAAGTTGTAATGCTGCTTTTCTGAGTTTCCTGTGATTCCTCAAAGTGAACACCAGGTGGAGACAGAGAGCCAATAAAACCTGCACCTCCGTAAAAGTGAGCTCTGACTGCAGAGACAGGACAGAGGTTTCATTTATGAGCTTTTGTTCTGACAGGTTTCTAACACTGCAGCCAAATGTAAATTCAATTACTCTGACAGTTAAAATGATGGTTATGGGGGACTTAATGATGTCTCATTGTGCTGCAGAATTTTGTGTCCCCCATACACACTGAAACACTATGCTGGTGTTTTCAGATCCACACTCTACAGGCTGCTCTGGGGTGAGAGACTGATGTTTCATCTGGACAGGGGGCTGAATGGGTAGAATAAGATGCATTTACACATTTAACCAGGTTTAATACTGGTGTGGAATTTCAGAAAAAATTGTATGCTCTCTCAGATCCGGTTCTGTTTTCTGGATTACAGAACTCACTGTGGGGCTCTGTCTCATTGGTTTGGTATGCGAGCCGTATATTCACTGCACAGTCGGACTTTAAACCCTTTAAAAGAAAATATTTATGTTTCAAACTCAGTTCAGACAGACCTCCTGAGGCCCGAGAGGCCTAAAAGCCCGAACCAGTGGATGCCAGGGTGAAGAGGTGGCGTCTTTTGCACAAAGAGTGTGTGACAAAGAAAGAGCAACAACCAGGGTTAACATGGGTTTGGCTGTTTGACATGGAGAGAGTTAAAAGGACTGAGAGTCAGTCAGTGGCATAAGTAAGCTACATGTCTAGTTAGAGCCTTTTTGCTGCCATTTGTTAACTATGCAGACCGGTGGATGCCAGAGTGAAGAGGTGGCGTGTTTTGCACAGTGGGACAAAGAAAGAGCAACAACCAGGGTTAACATGGGTTTGGCTGTTTGACATTGAGAGGGTTGAAAGCAGCCAGAGGACTCAGACTGGCTCCAGATGTGGCGTTCTAACTTCTGGCTGTGTTAGCATCTAAAGCTAACCTGTTTGTTTTGGTAGCATTAGCCATCTAGCATGGTCAGGACTTTAGCTTTGTGGTGAATTAATGTAATTTTAATTTCTGAGTAACTGGAGCTTTGTGTAACGTCAGTGCTTTGTGTCACATCAGCAGTAACCAGAGCGTTCTACAGGACTGACACATTTACTGTTAGCCAGCTAGCTTCAGACTGGAGGCTGCATTTTGCACACTTTGTCCCAACCAGGCATCTATAGTTTACGTCGTCGCTAGGAAACAGGGTGTGATGGAGGGGCAGAGAGCGGTTAGGAGCGGCTGATGGCATCAGTTTGGTTTGAGTCTCAGTAGACTCTGGGCTGAAAAGAGTAGGTAGAGGAGGATTAAGTCTCTGTTCAAAAATCTGAGTGTTCACTGTTACTTGATTTGGATTCTGTAGTTGTTGGAGACAAATTCAAAACAGACTTTCGGTTTTATAATTTGGGGGGAGTCATTCAAGTTTGTCACTTTTTTATTCAGTTGCATTTTGTGAAGAACCAGTTTTGCCCAAAATAAAGGCCATTATTTTATTGTGGCTATAAAAACAATTTGTGTTTTCTCCATCCAGCAGCGCAGCTGGTTTTAAAACCACAAACCAGAGCTACTTGATTACACAGCCCAACAGTGTTTATGTTAGATGTTTATTGTGGAGCTCGACTCTGCTGCTGACATCCACTGTGTTATGAGTTAATCCCCAGTTAGTTTCACCCCCACAGTTTTTATTTCTCTAATCTGTTTCCACATTCAGCATCACTCCTACATTTCTGGATGGAGACATTCAAAGCATAAGATCTTCATATTTTGACTTTATAGTACGATAAATCTGCAGAAGCTGCTTTTGTATTGATACAGTGGAGGGTGGAGATGTTTCTTTTCTCTTCATCTCCACTCAGTGTGTGAATGAGAGGTGGAGAAAATGATAGAAGAGGAGTTGAACTGTGAGCTTCTGGTGTTAAACCAGGCTTTACCATGAGCTCATCTCTGAGGATGCAGGGAGGCAGAATCTGGATTTCTTGAGTCTTGCTGTAGATTCGTGTCTGTTGCTGAGTGAGGGACTTAAAAGAGACATAAAGAGACTCTGTTTCTTCTCTAAGACAAAGGGAGACAGAGAAATGGCTACAGATGGGTGTTTTCTTTCCCTCCGTTTGGTCTCCTGTCTGCCTCCTTCTTTAGAGGCATCCCAATATAGAAGCTGATCAATAAATCAATCAATCCACCTCTGCCACAGAGGAGGAGAGTGAATGTAGAAAACAAAGAGTGAGATCTAACAGACACCAGTTTCTTCCAAACATTGCAATTTTTACTCCAAATAAAATAACATATGTTGTAGGTAAAACTAATCAAAACCCCACAACAGCTGCATTGTTTCGTCATGTTTGGTTCCTAAAAACCACAGCGAGCAGCTGCTTTAGGAATAGTCTTGTTTTAAAAAATGAGACTGTATATTTGTTTGGTGTTTTATAAGATCTTTGTCTTCAGTAGGAGCCAGTGGGCTTGGAGCTGAGAACTGCAGACAGAGTGGAGAAGTGCTGAGAGATGAACTAACAAGTCTTTACAGAGGTTTATAGTGAGTCAGAGACAAACCATGCACTTATCAGTCACTATGATCCAGTGGTATCAGAGACATTACTGGGACACGGGCTGTTCTGCAGAAGGACTGCTGTTATTTCAAATATATTTTGATAGTAATACTTTTGTACTTAAGTAACATTTTGAATTCAGGACTTTTACATGTAACAAAGTATATTTACATTGTGATATTAATACTTTTACTTTAGTAAATATGTGAGTATTTCTTCCAACACTGTGTGAAAATAAGCCATTTCAGAATCACCCATCACCTTAAAGGCTAGTGATACTCCTTGTTGCTGCTGTACTTGTCCATACTTGCAGGTTTAAGTGCCAGTGTGGCCACCACAGCCGCACGCAAACAACCAAAATAAAAACCTAAAAAAATTGGTGAGATAAAATAAACCAACATAAACCCACATTTTACTAGTACAGATGTTGAACAGATTAAAGTGAGTACACCAAGTCCAAGTGACTTCCTCTCATGTCTTGGTGCACGCACGTCAGTAGGGAAGTTGCTTTATAAAAACTAAAATTACAATAAATCTTTTTTCATTTGCAGCAGGAACTCTGACCTCCATGTGAAGGACTTGCAGCTGCTCTTTGTGGATTAAAACCCACTGATTTTCTAAGTGTTATTTATTCCTTCCTGAAGCTGGAAGCAGAGTCAGTGTAATCTCCAGGGCTCAGCCCTGACAGGTTAATTTGCTCTGTCAGAGCCTCCATTTAGAAAAGGCAGTTTAGTGTCAGCTCACACTGCAGGCCCGGACCTCAGTTTAGAGTCTGTCTCATGCAGCACAGCTGCTGAGTCCTTCACAGAAAGAGAAAGGAAGAAGTCCTTTTGATTTTTAATATGATCTGCAGGGAATGCTGCAGAGTTTTGTTAACTGTCTGCATAATCACATGCACAAGATCATACACAGAGCAAAGATACATTCACACTAACAAACAAACAAAACAACATCTACAGGAGCTGCAGAGTGAAAGGAATTAATTAACCCACTTAACAGAAAGAGGAGGCGGGGCTGTGTGAGTGTGCTTTAGGGGCAAAGCTAGAGAGTCATTAGCATGTTGAGTTCCTGTCTGACCAACAGTCCAGGGTTGTTTCTGGGTGTTTCAGTGCCCTGGGCAAGGCGTTCTGTTGGCACCTGAGGGTGGTTTTATTATCCTTTGCCATCTCAGATGCAGCTTTATTCAGCTTCTCTTCTGTCCTCATCATCTGTCAGTTGGCTTTAAATGAAAAGGAGTCCCTGTATGAGTCTCACATTGTCCCACCCTCTGTTCCACTGTGCCACAGTGTCTGATGCCGCCACAGCTAAGACTCTCACTTTCACACTTACTCATAGTCCACCCTATTGTCTTTATAGGTTTGTATGCTTTTCTCGTTCACAGCACAATATCACATTTTTCTGTCATTATGAACAAATTTACCCACAGGTATCACAGTGAGTTTCAGCAGGCTCACCTGATGCTACACCACTGTTTGTGCCAGTCAAAGTTCCCACCAGCATCACCACCCTCCTCTATTATCCTGTGGCCTCAGTGGTGAACACAGAGTGCAGGGAATCTATGTGGGCTCGGTGCCAGCCAGGCCTGGAAGGACACACAGAGGCTGCCCACGTGGGGTTCGGCTCCGAGGCAGGATTTCCACGGTAACAGGTATCTGCTGCCAAACTGGGAAAACCTCCTAAAAGTCAACTTTCCTGGAAACAAGAAGAAAACAATCTCATTTCCAGCCAATGGCACAGACAGTCAACAAAACCCTACAGAGGGTTCTGAGAGAAATCAGTGGAATCAGGTCACTGACATAATCTTTATCACATTAGTTAGTTCAGATCATTATTATAAACTTTTAGCTTAAATGCACAAATCACACTCTCCAGTTTATACAGCTCATTGCATCTCATTGAACACGCATGTTTGCATAGGTTCTCACCAACATTTGTGCCATTTGTGTTTGTTGATGCTTCATGTGTATAATAAACCTTATGTTTAAATGAATGCTAATTTAAAAAATTTACACAGTTTATAATTCCAAAACCCTTTAGAACTGCATTCATATGCAGTACATGGTATCACTGTGAAGCTACTCAGGAGTTTATTTTTGTGGGTTTTTGTTACTCCTTATCCTACGGCAAACTTTTTAGCATCTTTCATATTTCAAATAAGCTACAGTAAGTAATAACAAGAGATATAAGACTGAAATTTATACCTCAAAAAGGAGGTGCAGGAACTGCAGCACCATCAGCAGCCCGCACCCCCCCTCATTCCCTTCCCCCTCCACTCCCCCAGCTGGAGACACACCCCTCCTCCTGGAAGCAGCCAGGCAGAGGGTGTCACACCTTGTGCCCTTGTTTGTAGAACCAGAATAAGAAACTCACATTCAGTCTAACACAGAACTTGTGTGAATATACACAGCAACATCCGGAGGAGGCTGGGAAGCAAACGTCCCCAAAGCCCCAAGAAAGTAAGTACAACTGAACTGTTTGACAATGTACTTAACTCTTCCTGTGCAGAGTTGTTTGTATACAGGACTGTGACTGAAAGTGACTGGTGCATTCATCAGACAATGTGTAAAATCTTAGCTAATGCACCTTTAAAGACTTGATTACTCTTAGCGTCTTGGATTGTTTTTCCTCATTTTCAGTGCACAACACTTTAACAACATCTAATCAACCACTGTTTTAATGTCACTAGGAAGAAAACACTCAGAAGCCGAGTGTGCAGCTGAGATGCTGTTGTTAATTGCACCAGATGCATCTCGTTGTAATCAGTTCAGTGCTGGCGTATGGCCGCCACCTGTGTCTGAGATCCTGTCTGACATTAAGCTGAAGAAATGTACATGCAAGTATTTAGGATGTTTTGGTTGCTGGCTGTTGAAGGTCTTGTACCCATGCATGACATAAAGGTTAAATAAATCATGTATTTTTGTGTATATTGAACAGGGGACCTCACAAATCTGTTTTGACTTGTCCCCAGTTTTATAAGCTAACTTAAGTCTTGTTTTTATGTACTTTTTTCCCCTGTCAAGCACTTTGTTACATCTGTTTTGGAAAGTCCTATATGATAAACTTTGCATCCTTTAAACCCAACCAGAAAAAAACAACCCAATCCAACCAGTCATGTGAGCACATGGTACAGCAAACTAAGCAGCCCAATGAAACTTGGCATCTTTTACTTGTTTTAGTTGCAGCCCTAGTGAACACACTCTTTTTCTGTATGCCAGGTTTCCATACATCTTCCTGAGAAGTTACAAACTCAAACTATTCCACCTATAGATATTTTTTTGTTTTTGTTTCTGGATCCCATTAGCTTCCATGACAATGAATGTCCTGGGGTCCACATGTTTAGAGATGCACCATAAAAATGTAGCATGTAAAACCCAAATATAATCATCCTGGACACAAAAGCCAAATCCAGGTTGTCTAGTCAAGGAGGTTAAATGCATTTTTATGTATTTCTTATGAATAACTGCGAAGGTTCTGGTTCTATGAGGTGATTTATCCCAATTAGATTAATATAAAACAATAACTTAAATGTCTTTGCTAGTCAGTATGTCTGTTAGAAACGCTTCACCCTAGAACGCCCCGTTTGTCAGCAGCAGCTGGTGTGGGTGTGTGCGCGCTCCAAGTCCAGTCCTCGCACTAGGACCCATCAGCCTGCCGGCTCTGTAAGACTCCGGCGCTAGGACCCCTCGGACAGTGATGGTCTCTTTGTCTCCACCAGTCCCAGCCTCCTGCTCTTCTCTCTGGGCTCATTCCGTGTCTCTTTCCATCAGCAGCGGTCTGGATGCTTGCAGGGACGGAAACATGGCTGTGAACCTCGCTAAGAACAGACTGGCCCTGCTGACTGCCTACCAGGACGTCATTGACGAGACCTCGGACACCGACTGGTGAGTCCTGCGGCCACCGGCCGACCATCCCTCCGAATCCCCCTCTCCATCCCTTCCTGACCCCGCTGCGGCGCTCCGCTCTGGGCTTCTCTCGGGGTTTTGTTGTCCGTGTTGGTGCGCGCTGACGAGGCAGGGCAGCACTGGGGCGCACCGTGCATCATCATCATCTTCTTCTTGTACTTATTCATTGTGCCCCGACTAGTGTTCGACAATAGAAAAACAGGCCGTGCTTTAAACTCTCAGCAGATTCACTAATGCCCCGCAGACGCGCTGTCAAGGCAGTTTATCTCCAGCCGGAATTGTCGGAGCAGCTTCTGGTAATTAGGCGCATTAAGATGCTACGAGCTGGAGGAAGCGTTACAGCTGAAAGTGAGAGTTTTGTTGCTGGGTTTGGACGAAGAAGGCAGCGGGTTTGTGGGTCTTGGAGTCTGAACTGAACTGCAGAGTCGGGGCCAGTGTGCGCACTGGACAAATAATTGTGCAAGCGGAAAAGCTTTGTTTCCTCTGTTGGTCGGGACCAGGTTTACTCTGTGCGCCAGCTGGAAGCAGTTTCAGCCTTTCACAATGCGATGCAGCAGTGTGTGTGTGTGTGTGAGGAGGTAAACGGGCCTGGTCCAGAGATACTGATGAGCCCCTGCATCCCCAAACGAGGGCGGGGAGGAGAGGGGCGAGGCCGGGCTGTGGGAGGGGGAACACGGGAGGGGGTTTCCATCATCAGCCTTTGTGACGTTTTCTCAAATTGTGCAAGAGGTTGTAATACGGTTGCAGAAATACAAAACGTGATTGTGAAATGATTCCTCGTGATACAAGAGTTAAATAGGCCAAGTATGATAAGTTAGTAAACAACCTGGATTTGCTCTGCACACATGAACATTTAAATTGTTTCCAGCCAAAGCTGGATAATAAAGTGGCAAAAGATAACTGCTTCTGAGTATGAAAACCCAGCTCATCGTGTATTTCTTTTCTCTTGGCCTTTTTAATTTGTTTCTAATAAATGCGGAGTTCTTCAGTGTACACACACACTGCTGCCAAAACACAGCATATGTTCACTCAGGCAAATCACAAAAATAATTTCATATCATGTTTGATAATTAACTAATTTCTGGTTTATCACAGGTGCTCAGGGTTGACTTCCTGATGCTGCAGCCAACCAGGAAGAGTAGGAAGCATAGGGATGTTATAAGGGAGTTAAAGTGATGGCAGACACGCTTATCTTGGTTTTCTGTCTGCATCCCTCTTCTCCTTTTCTCTCTGTGTGTGTGTGTGTGATAGGAAGTGAAAAAGTTGTGTGGATTCATTCTGTTGCAGGTAAACATGCAAAAGCCTTTAGAAGAGGTCAGATTTGACTTGGAGCAGGACTGTAAAGTTAAACTGTAACCTGATGTCCTTGATTCATGGTCACTAAAGGGGAAAAAAACATCTATGCCAAAGTCAGAACATTTGGTAAATTCTTTTATTTTTTTTTTACCTTAAAACCGCTGTCATTTGGTTTAAGTGGTGCCATTACAATCACTGACTGGGTGACCTCCGATTTCCAAATCACCAGAGGTCAGGCTCTGTTTTAGCTCAGATTACACATCCTGTTTTGAGTTGTTTGCAGCCAAACACTTGCTAGTCTTAACTATGAAATGTGAACCAGTGTCATCTGTTGCCTGTCATTAGTCTGAGCAAGGTCAGATTGCCTTGAATGCTCAAGCAGCGGTTCTGCTTTCTGTTTGGAGCTGTTGTGATTTGAGGTTTTGGTTCCACATTTTGTCTCTGCTTGGGATTCGGTTTTGATGCCCAGAGGAGGTTTTTAGTGCTGACAGTGTTCCTGTGCAGATATTTAATAATTCTAGCTGAGAGTCAGTCAGTGGCATAAGTAAGCTACATGTCTAGTTAGAGCCTTTTTGCTGCATTTGTTAACTATGCAGACCAGTGGATGCCAGAGTGAAGAGGTGGCGTGTTTTGCACAGTGGGACAAAGAAAGAGCAACAACCAGGGTTAACATGGGTTTGGCTGTTTGACATTGAGAGGGTTGAAAGCAGCCAGAGGACTCAGACTGGCTCCAGATGTGGCGTTCTAACTTCTGGCTGTGTTAGCATCTAAAGCTAACCTGTTTGTTTTGGTAGCATTAGCCATCTAGCATGGTCAGGATTTTACCTTTGTGTTGAATGAATATGATTTTAATTTGGGAGGAACTAGAAATTTGTGTAATGTCAGGAGTAACCAGAGCGTCCTGCTGGACTGACACGTTTAATAGCCACCTAATGCTAGCTTCAGATGCCATCTTGGATGAAAGTGGAGCGAGGAAAGATAAAGTGAATTGGTATCTTCCAGCTTCTGACTGACTGAACACACCTGAGCCAGGTAATCTGTAGCAGATCAGGCAGGGGTAGTTGGGGAAAACAAGCGGGACAGTGGCCCTCGAGGACTGGAATTGGCCACCCCAGGGCTTAAGGCATTGGCTCTGTCAGTTTGAGTCTCACTAGACCAGGGGCTTTCAGCTACAACAGGGGCCACTGCTCTGCTTAAGGACCACTGTTCTGGTGGATAGACTATTTTAATCCTCATCACCTTGGCTTTTATAAATTCTATCTGATAGAATAGTAGTAATACATGGAAAGATACATCTACTGATCAGGATCCACCTACAATGCCTTTGCAGATCACCAGGGGCCACAGACTGCGGGTTGAAAAATCCCTGAACTAGAACTTCTAGGCTGAAAAGTAAAAAGCTAAATAAGTTTTGGTCAGAAATGAATAATTTAAACAGTACTTCCTGACTGTTATTTCCAGCATTTTTAATTTTTTTTTTTTTTTTTACTCAGCAGCTGAGGATTAGGTGTTAGGGGTTTAGGGTTAACTAGCCCTAATTCAAACTTAGGCTAAAGGAAACATTTCACTGTTAAGGGATTTTTCTGTGTTATTTATAACCATCTAACACACTTGCAACATACAATACCATTATACCTTCACTGTTGTTGAGCATGTTTGTGTGGATGCACACGTCACTATTAACCACTTTTTGATTTGAATATAAAATGAAGCTTTGTCCTCTCACACACCTGGGCTTTCTAAAACCATAAAGGTGTAAATGACGTCTAGCGCCGTTTCCCTGTTTCTACCAGCCGTTTTGTTTTGGTAGTGTGATGACAGCTGTCAACATTCAACCTACAGGTTAATGTTGCTTTTCAACAGCGTTCAGATATTTGTTTATTCTGTCCGGTGATCCGGTGCAGAGGGCCTCAGGCCTGCCCCTGTTTTTCACATGTGATGAAATTTGAACAGAAGCAGAAACGCCGACCTAAAACAATGCGGGACACCATCCCAGAGACCCTCCACCCCCTCTGCCCTAATCTGTCTGTATCCATCTCCAAGAGAAGATCTCTAAACAGAAACTTGCAGATATGTTTGTTAATCGGCCTCATGCGTGCAGACCTGGGCTGATACAGTTTATCTAAAATTGCCAAATACTGGCTCAGTTAATCGGCCGACCGTGCTATTGGTCTACCCATGAATGAAGTGACTGACTGATTACTTGATACAAAAAATTTAGCAGAAACAATTTAAATTCATTAATAATAGTCAATTGGTTAACTTTTTTTTTTTTTTTAAAGCAAACATGCCGGCAATTCAACAGCAACTTAGTTTTTTATTTTAAGTAAAGTTTTTGGTTTATGACTGTTGCATTGACAGAACAAGCCATTTGAATAAGTCAGCTTAGGTGTACTATTTTAAAGACCAAACGATTAATTGATTGGAGCCCTGTATAAAACAAAGTTATCAGGCTAGTTCTCCGGTGACTTGGACTCGACTCGGATTCGTACACCGGGAACTCTACTACAACACTGAGCGTGGCTACAGAGTCAGAATCGTTGTTAATGGCCAAGTATGTCTGAACACACAGGAATTGGACTGTGGTGCAGAGGCTCTCAATGCGCTGTAAAGCAACAGGAATAGAAAGTAACAGGGAGAATAAAAAGTAGAGCAATAAATATTGGAATAAACAGTGCATGCATTAAAATAGGAAAAGAGGGTCAGGTTTATCAGTATATGTACACACAGTCGCAAGAAGTTATGGGACAAAATTTACACTTGTGAACATGTTTGTAGGTACCCAGTGTAAAACAAACAGATCTGTCTGTGAAGCTTTGCTCATTAATTTGCTGACTTCGGGTAATGTGGTGAAAAACAACGGTTAATTTCAAGACCGATCTATTAATGACCAGTGATCGAGGAGTGTTGCTGTGCAGGAGGAGGACTGAGCGTCCTACTGCACAGTCCAAGCTAAACACTGACATCATTCTTAAAACATGCAGGCGTGCCAACCAGCTTGAAAAACAAGCATTGCAAACTGATAAGAAGTGGGTATAAGAATATTTTTGATGTTAAAATTAAACCAATGAAAATCTTAGCTGCTACTGACTTTAAGCTGGTACTGACTCACAGGCTGTCATCCTGACTTCATCTGGTGCCTGGAGCAAAAAGAAAAGAATGTTGGCTCTTGAGGCCCAGATGTCACATTGCGGTGAAGGTGATGCAGGGAAAAAGGCAGTGAGCGATTCAGGGTTATCCGATATCAAACAGCCCACAGACGCTCAGGAATGCAGAGCGCTCTGTGGCTGCGGACTGGCTGGAGGCTGTCGGCCCCCCTGCGGCTGTGTGAGGAAGCCATTACTTGACGGGTCACCTCTGCCAGGCTGATGAAGTACAAGAATGTGGTAAGGGAAGGAGGAGGAGGAGGTTGCAAACTCTTGAGTCATGTTTCATTAAGTGAAGCCCTCGAAGTAACCTTCAGATCTGGGCCATGTGTTCCTTTTGAACCCCTAACATACCTGTTTTTCTATGCTCACATTTTCTACCTAACCAGTCATCTTTTAATTTAGTTTTAGTTATTCTGGGAAAGCTTTCGGTTCTCAGTGATGTCTGGATTCCTGACTAGTCACCCAGTGAAGCACTGAAGAGCTGGTTACTGGGGACCAAAAAAAAACCAAAGATGCTGGTTCTGCACTGGATCA